GGCAAAGAGAGTAATGGAGAAAGAGAGTGCAAAAGCTCGCTCTAAATCTCTTGTCAGTTGTAAATCTCTCAATTACCGATGGTTGCGCCGGTGCACCTGTTAAAACTTATGAGCTTCCCCTGTTTCATTCCGATAGTGTTGTTCTGTTGAATAAAGAGTTGATTAATTCAAGTTTGCTACTCAGGGGACTTCATGAAATTTCTCTAGATTTTGACACTGGTTTGTATCAAAAAACGTTTTCGGAAGTGTTTGAGGGTTATTCTTCATTACACTTCAGTCGAAAGAGTTAGCCTTGTGATAAAAACGAGAATTAGTTACGTTTTGCAATTCCTCCTACTTCGGTTAGCGTGAAAAGGGCCATACAAGTTTTGTTTACACAAGATGATAGGCCCTTCAAATGTTACGTTAGGTAATGATTAATATAATAATTGAGAATATGTCCCTCGAATTCATGGAGCATTGAAAAATAAAACAATAACTAATATGTGGTGGTAAGCTATAACGAACAAAGTTTGGTGGACAGGTAAACAAATGAGGCACGCGACGCCTCTGAAAACTAGGAATACAAAAAAAAAAACGATGGAAAAAATGTATTCCAGATTCCGGATGATTTTTTATGTTGTTGATAATTATTATAGTTTATTCAGAGTGTCTACACAACAAGAATATTACGCAGATTTCCATGAATTTCCCAGGTTTTTCCAGAACACACCATAAAGTACCATCATTTCGTGCACCTGTGCAATTTCGCACATTTTTTAAGAAAATACACCGGATGTTCCAGACATCCCAGATTTTGTGTTATAAAAAATTTCAAGCATCTAAAATTCAATATTCCAAACATCTGACATAGAAGATTTTTGAGATTGCGAAGTTAACAATAATAATGTACGTTCCGTAAAATTTTTCCTAGCAAGTTCGTTTTGCCATCCACTCTCCTGAATCCTTTTACTACATGCACTACTTATGTGCAGTGATAAGTGATAGTCCATGTCGTTTGAAAACGTATTGTTAAGTCCCATGCTCAGTTTTGAAGAACAATAACATAATTTTATATTGAACCTAAATAAAACGATTATGTAACCGATTAACGCGCATTTGAACGTTTCTTTACTTCTTTCTTCACTAGAGCCAGGGGAACAACAAGATTATAGCAAGAAAATGCAGCGAAAAATCAGGTAGAAGTTGAAATACCAAAGCGCACAAGAAAAGAAAAATCAAAAAGATGCAATCCGTGCTGCAACCCACTTTTTCTGAGGCCTTTTTGCCATCTCCCCCAGATTATGTACGTTTCCGAAGGAAAACGAAAACACCGCGCAGTATGCAACGCGAATTGCACAATGCAGGAAAACCACCTAACATCAATGTTTACAAATGCTTTTCCAAAAAACAAAAAGCAACTCTCCGCAATCCGATTGATCACATCAGCCCTGCAACACGACGGATCATTCGCGCTCTGGAAAAAATGGTACAAAAGCAAAACCCTGGAACTGCTCTATCAAGACGGTGGTGTTACGAAATACTATTTACTTTCGCCTTGCATTCAAAGCAGCTGCCAGCCTCTCGGTCACGGTTCGGTCAGCTAAACCAGAGTGCCAGAGCTCTCTAGCTGCTGCACAACAGACCGACGACGACGTCAAGAGCACAAGAGCAGGAAAGCTCTCCGTCCGTCCGGATCAGTGCAAGTGCGAGTAAGGGGAAAGGAAAATCCAAATAAAAATAAATCGCTGGTAAGAAGATTGCTCCACACAACACCAATTACGTCTCAATAAGGAAAATATTCCTCCGGGAAGTGCTGAAAGATGGTCCACTTGGCAAGCTGCTACCCTCGGTTATCAAAAGATTCACTGCACTGGTCCACTTTAGCCACCGGAAATCGATCCAATCCGCCTCCGATGATGATTACGAAATCCGACGAGTCAATTGCGGCAGACATTTTAGTTTCTCCAATCCCCATCGTCAGAACGCAAAAAAGCCAACAAAGAATAATTCCACTTTTCATTCCTTCCTTCGAACGAATCATGGATTGGGGCTAATAATGGCGAGATCGTTCAGGTGAATGGACATTTTGCTGACACCTACCTGGAGATGCACTTCCAGGCTCGCAGGTTTTCACGATCCGCGCAAACTTTTCCACACGCGAAAGTCACTCACAATAACTATAATTTAGACAACCTGAATCCGGTTTCGGGTCGGAACTGAGCAAAAACACTTCAAAACCGCAAGAGACGGGAATTTGAAACGCGAAAATACGACAAGAAGACGGGCGTGCGAGGGATCGCGAACACGACACTCGATTGATGATTATTTTTTTTTTTCTTTTCGTCTTGTGACGGTGCGGGACCTCGTGTGACAGTCGCGAGAGGTGATCGCGAACACTTTTGACAACCGGGGGAATGGACCGCGCTTATCGCGCATCAGCGGTTGTCGATATTTATGGACTAACATGTAAAAAAGACCTTTCGTTTCTTTCTATGAATCCCCATATCCAGCTTTCCATGTTCGGTAATGGCGGCCTGTTTGTATGAATAAATGTATCCTTCACTGTGCTTTTTGACACTATCTGAAGGTTCGGATTTTGACCCCTCCCTTTCATCCACACCATTTGTGGAATAGTCCTATGATTTGGGATATCGTTTTTCTTAATCTATAGTGCAGCTTAGCACCAAACGGAATTTTATTATTACTGATGGCTTCCAAATTTATTTACCTTTCCGTACGTACCGTAAGATTTGATTAAGAGAAACAAATTGTTGAGATATTGTTAAAAGTCTAACACTGCTTGTTGATGCCAAACTCGGCCTAACGCATTGAAACGCCAATGAATTCACTTCGGCCTATCGGATGAAGATGAAGATTGATTCGGTCGGAGCGCTTCATTTGTATTTGATAATATTGGGTGCAAACAGGGTTCCTTCCATTCATTTCGGCAAAAAAATGTTTTATTAAATAATGGAATAATAAGATATTATGATAATAAGCAACAAGAAAATATTGTAAAGCTTGTGTTTGACCATAATACCTGCCAAATTTGCTACATGAGCGTCGCAATAAGCGATTTTGTCATTTATCTCATCCACTCTTCGCGAAAAGGCGATCAGAAAACCACTCATTGTGACTCTGTCAAAGCTAAATTTGCAAATTTTATGTGTCAAACACAAACTTTACAATCTTGTTTTGTTGCTTACGTAAACCAATTATTATTATAATATCTTATTATTCCATAATTTAATAAAACATTTTTTTAGCCGAAATGAATGGAAGGAACCCTGGGTGCAAACATTCATATCACGCGTTCTTATTGACTTCGTTCGGTAGCATTTGAACTTAAGTATCGTACCAAACACATAATTTGCCTGTTAACGCCGAAATCATTGATTTATTTGATGTTTTCTGCTTGATAGTCCCAAAATGGGCGCTTAGGCCGAAGTAGTTCACTACCCACCTCATAATACACACGTATAGAAATCCCTTATACATAAAGGCATATTTCTATTGCTGATTATTAATAAAATGTCAAGTAATAAACAGACGCCTTGCAAATAAGTTGATAAGGATCATGTGTCAAATGGAATGTTTAAATGGTCACACATATCGTTTATGATTGCCTATAAGAAGAATGAAGTCACATCAGCCATTTGAAAAGTCTTCTACTCGATTGGAATAACGGCTTGTTGACAGATAATCAGCTGTTTCAATTTTGACATGTCGTGTCATGACACTTCCCTAATCAAAAATTACCATAAACGAACGATAACCCAATTGATTGAATTATTCCACAAATGGTTTGGATGATACCTCGAACACGTCGTTAAGCAAATTAACCATAACATTTTTATTAGGGTTATAGCAACAATGAATACGAAACTATCGATTTGAAATTGGCTCACTACTTGACTAGCCTATTGGTCCCAAGTAAATCGATTAACGTACCCCATTCTAGTTGAAATTCTAGTACTACACTATGTTTGTTTTGATTATCTATGAAAGTATGACAGATAAAATGAGGGGTTCGTGGATTTTCCTATGTTTCGAGGGGTGCATCGATTAGCTTGGGACCGAAGATAGTACCAGAGCTGAGCCAAAAAGTTGAGCTCGTTTCTTCGGGACCTTCTGGTCTTAGAGCATAGAGGTAACTAGGCTAGAAGGTCCCGAAGAAACGTGCTCAACTTTTTGGCTCAGTTCTGGTACTATCTTCGGTCCCAAGCTAATCGATGCACCCCTCAAAGCATAGGAAAATCCGCGAACCCCTCATTTTATCTGTCACACTTTCATAGCGAATCAAAACAAACATAGTGTAGTACTAGAATTTTGGACTAGAATTGGGTACGTTAATCGATTTGCTTGGGACCAATAGGCTAGTCAAGTAGCGAGCCAATTTAAAATCGTTAGTTGCCACCTGTTTATTTTCATCCTCTCAACACCGCTCAAAAATTGGCCCTTTTTTCCAGAGCAAAAATGAGAACTCGTTCGTGACTTTCTCATTATTTGATTGCAATTGCTTGATTGAGCCAACATTTTGTGAAGTTCGAAATAAGCTTTAAAATGGTTATCAAGTAAGAAACTGATCAATATCAAGCCTATATCAATATTGCTGCTTTCCCTCAGACCCATTATTTTGATGTTTAAGGTGCCTTTGTTGAGGATGTCTACAATTATTAGTGATTATTGCAAGGAATTAATCAAACTTTTCCATTGGTATTAATAAATTTGGACAGTCATTACACTTGTTTTAATACTTTATAATTTATTGTGTTAATCCTAATACTTTATCTTTCAAACGAATCGGATTAAGGGACGTAAACCTTCGAGTTGGTCCTGATCGTTGGATTTTTTGTTGACTCCGTTCTAAAATAGTCCTGAAATATCGATAAAAAATATCGACAAACCTCCGACGCGCGGATCAATTCCAGCTGCTCCCACTTGTGCTCGGCTTCTATGCTAGTTTATTATTTTTCGTCTCTGACACTGCGAGCTTCTGTCATCATCCGTTCGTGCACGGATTTTACTAAAGTTTTTTTTTTCTTGCCTTCGTCTCGGTCTCGGAAGAAGACATCCAAAAAATTTACTCCACCGCAGAAGCTTGATCTGGTTCGAAAGATATCTGCAGATTCGCGACCGGGTTTTTGTGCGCCACAACATCCACGGCAGCATGGAACGCTAGTTACGCTCGGCGACCCTCCCGTACCCACCGATACGATATCCATTGTTGGCAGAAAAGACAAACCGGGAGGAATTGATCCTCTGTTGCGGCAGCCGGATTGAAGAAAAAATCCTGTCAAATAAAACGAAGAGTGGATCAATTTGGTGTTCTTTTTAGTTGATTATTGTTGTTCCACCTACATCTAGAAGTGCTAGTGAGTGTTTCGATTCGTGTGTGCGGTTTTGTTTTTAGATCATCCGATATCTGACTACGAAAGGTCGGGGCGACGATGGAAGGGCTGGTCGAAAACTCGTTAAATCCTCCCTGCCGGTTCTACTGTCATTCGTGCTCGGTGGAAATTGATCGGGTATCATCGGTAAGTTGGATTTACATCCCTCCGAACGATTGATGGCACGGAACTTGATTGCTCCTTTTTTTTGTAGGATTTCACCTGTCCACACTGCTCGCAAGGTTTCATTGAGGAGCTGCCAGCTGCTGATCGAAGTAACAATCCACCGTCTCCCCCGCCAGCTGGCTCAGATGGCGATATGCAGACGAACGATTTCATCAATCCACAGGTGAGATCTGGGTGTGACTAATAATTTGGTTCATTATAAATGGTAATCAATATTGGGATGTTTCAGGCAATAAGACTGGCCAGCGAAATTTTCAGCAACAGCATCTTGTCCCCGTTGTTGCTATCAACCTCGAGTGGACCCCGTGGTCCCGATTCCGATGGGGTAGGTGCGCTCGGTGATGATGGCGGTGAGGCACCGGGTGCCGTAGGTGCATCCGGTGGTGGAGGATCAGGCTCGATTAGAAGCCTTGGACGGCACCGGAACAGGCGCCGTGGTATGCAGAATATCAACAATCTGGACAATATCCTGCGGGAGATTTTGATTTCGGTAGCAGACGGTGCCAATGGAGGAGTCGGTGGGACACCGATGTTCTTCATGGGGAATCCCGGAGATTATGCCTGGGGTCGGGAAGGACTGGACACGATCGTGACACAGTTGCTCAATCAGATGGACAACACGGGGCCACCCCCGCTGGAGAAGGAAAAGATTGCTGAGATTCCAAAGGTTACGATCAGTGCCGAGCAGGTGGAAATGAAGCTACAGTGTTCGGTCTGTTGGGAAGATTTTCAGATCAATGAAGTCGTCCGGAAGCTGACCTGTGCTGTGAGTATAGAGTTCATCCGGTGGAAAGGTTATTTCGATAATTTCTGATTGTATCTCGCAGCACGTCTATCATGAATCATGTATCATTCCTTGGTTGGAGTTGCATGGCACGTGCCCAATTTGCCGAAAAAGTCTGGCACCGGAACAGCAACCGGATGAACAGCGAGGCCTAGCAGCTGCAGCGAATGCCGTTGCCAACACGTTACGTGAGTATATTGCTTATTCAGGGTGTCTACTACCTTACAAACCATGGGGAATTTTGAAATTCTTGTATCAAGCGACAAGTAATTTTTAAAAATTTGAATATATTAAATTGAGGTCAAGGAATACCCCTCACCATCCCTCTCCAACGGGGGAATTTGGTAAAGAGAGATGATCAAATCGATGTGTACCTTAATTCATAAAAGTTGTCCTTACTCGCTTTCTACTCTCTATATAAACAATTTCACACTGCCGTACTCTAATGGAACTATCAACTCTATACTTTCATCTATCGTATAAAAATTACCACTCTAGTCTGTTATTTGATATAAGCATCTTTTCCAGATGCACAATTTATTCTACTCGAGCTTACGTATCTAAAGTCGTAGCCTACTACTAACTTACTGCTATAAATAGCACATCTCCCTTTTTCTAGGATATATTGGCGTTGACGAGAGTTCTGTAACTCTTTACTCCTATCTAGAAATCTCATTTGTAACTGTCAGTCTATGTGTGAAACATGGCGGAATTTTTCTTATTCTCTCACTCCAACGGCAAACCCCATATGAAACTGTCAAAATATGTGTGAAGAACCGTCATTTCGGGACTGGTACAAGGCGAATTACAATCAATTAAACTAACAAAATCTCTTCACTTCTCAAAGACGTTGAGTCCATTTTTTAATGACTCAAATCTCAACACCAGGCATGGGAACTTCACACTCCTCAGCTGTAAATCATGCAAAATCTTCTTCTAAAGCTTCATAGTTTCTGGTTACTAAAGAACCAGATTCATCATTTGTTGTATGGTGCTCATAATCAGAGTTGGCTGCGCGTGTGAACGAACATGACGTTCGTTTTTTTTTCTCGGAGTTTTTTATGCTTATTTGGTTATTAATCCGGTTAACATTTTCGACGATTAGTTCTACATAGGACGGGACTAGTTTATGTCGATCCCCATCAAGCGAACCGTCTTTGATTGAAACAACAATGCAACAATAGCACGGATGCTACCTGTGGATTCATCTGGACTAACTTGGTGAGATCGTATCTGATTTTATCTATTTAAACTAAATTTACATTCTCTTAAATTTGGCAAATTCTTAATGGAGTTTTCTCCACACATACCATTTTTTTGTGTATTTGAAATCTTCATTTAACGCCAAATGTCTGAACATTTTTGAACATGTGGTGAAACATTACTGTAATTCTTATATATCATTATATTATATTAAATTACGTTGGGGGGGTCAGCCTAAGGGAATCAAAAGATTTGTTGACTGGACGAGGGTTCGTGGATTTGCCAGTCCCTTGTCACGTGATTACAGATGGCCATCTGGTCGTTCTGTCTTCCAAAGGTCTTCAATGAAGCTGATTCACCCTGCTGCAACAAACCATCAGGCAGAACTTTACAACCGGTAAAGTATCCGCAGACATTGGAAATCCTTGCGCTGATGGTGGGTTCCATTCACATCACATCACATCACATCACTAAAGAACCAGATTCATCAATGTTCTTGCGTGAGAAAGTAATAACTGTACACTTAGCTGGGTTGACCACCAGTCGGATTAGACTACACCAGTCAGCAAAGATGTCAATCTGATTTTGGAGAGAACGGCAGTCGTCGAGTGAGCGGATGCGCAGAAAAACTTTCAGATCGTCTGCAAACGATAATCGTGGCTCTGTGTTAACATGGTGAACGTCGTCGAAGTAGAGGAGAAATACCAATGGTCCCAGATGGCTACCTTGAGGTATACCGGACTTTGCGCCGAAGCTTGCTGAGCGACAAGTACCCAAAGTTACTGTCAATTGGCGCTCCGTGAGGTATGATCGAAACCATCTCAAAAGATTTCCACCGATCCTTCAACAGTTTCATCTCTTTGTACCTACTGAAGTAGTCAATAACTACCAATAAGTATTCGCCAGAAGGAAGAGGGCCCATGAAGTCAATGGCAATATCACCCCACGGCTTTGTTGGCAATTGCCTGCGACTCATTGGGACTGGTCGGCTCGGAAGTCCAACTAGCTGACATCCTTCACATACTGCACAACATTCTCGTCTCTCGATCCATTGAATGCCACCATGCACGATCTCACAATCGTCTTTTCATGACCGATTCACCCGGATGCCCTTCGTGAGCAAGCTGTAACATGCGTTGCCGTAGTTGCTTAGGAACAACAAGTTTATTTCCTCTGATCATGGTGTCCCCATGGTTTGCTAATAGGTTACTCCAACTGGCAGACAGAAGACATTCTCTTACGGCTGTTATCTCTGGATCATCGCGGGTTGCTTCTTCAATTTAATCAACATCAACTGCAACAGATTCCTGGATTACCAAAATCATAAATTTATTATCTTTCTCGACGTCTTCAGCACCACCATCAAAATGAACCAATCGAGATAAAGAGTCTGCGATATTTCCGCTTCCATGCCAATACTTGAACTTAAAGGATTGTAGTCTCAAGACCCAATGTTCAATGCGAGTGCAGGGTGTGGAAGATGGAGAAAAAAATAACTTCAAGTTAAGCTCAACAGGTTCTATAACATTCCCCAGAATGCACCATTCCCCAGAAAAGTATGACATCTATTAGATTTACTATTTTTGTTTATTATAGTCACTCCTGGAATCTTCTTTCGTGTAGGGTAAATTATGGCTTCGGCACCCATTGACTGTTTTCGGCAACCGAAATTGAAGCGTTAATTTCACTGTATTTTCCCATCAAACCTTTACCTTACCTTTTCAGCTTCAATCTGATTGCACTTTTACTACTGTGCAATCCTGTTATGCCAGATTTTTCTATAAATGAAATATATACGCTACAAAATACGGCTGATTTCGAATCGCCGATAATAGAACAGCTGGTTAACACGCAGTTCAAATGGAAAGGGTGCCGAAGAAAAAGAAACTGCCGACAATAGTCACACTCACCTGAGAAGTTTGGAGCGTTGTAAAAACATGTTCAACCCATTTTGATCAATTCTGTCTATTGGAATTGGTAGAACAGCAAGCAGCAGATGAATGTCAACAAACAAACCCGTCATGTATGTGTGTGACGCTGAGAAATCGCTAATAGAAGTTCGGACGCTGCTTAGATTGACGAGAATACGTAAATTCCCCTATATAAAAAGAAGAAAAAAACTTCTTAATGGGTCAAGGGGTTTTGGGAGACCTTAACTGCCGTTATACGCATAACTGTCCGATGTTCTATGCAATCCTTATGCACCATGGGACTCTTATGCGTATAACGGCAGTTAATGGATCAATGGGTTTTCCCTTCTTAAGAAAAGGAAATAATTAATTCTTTGGATAAACGATAAAGAAGGGAATATTCCCTTCTTTTCTCAAGGGATTCGGGGTAATGACCATTCGGCATAATAACGAGTGGAATAATGTTATAAATTTGTAATCGGTAGTTCAACGTTCCATGTAGGTTTTTTAATCCATCACGAGAAATTCTTCAACTCAGGTCGAACAATTCTTCGATAAGGTTTAACAGTTTCCGACTGGTTGAATTGGATTATTATTATTATTATCTCTATTTAGGAGATTTTCAGGGGGGAGAGGTAGCTCATCGATTCTTCCGGTTCGCCTCCTAGCATCGTGCTATAAGGTACCAGGCGATAACCAGGGTAGTTGATCGATAGCTCGATGACGTCATTTCGTTGGCGTCTGCAATGGGAAATTCTCATAGCAGGCGTTGACGATGGGACGTTGTCGAGTTGTTGAATAGCAACTATCGTGGTAACTCACCGATTACCTGTCGATCTGCCAAATTTGGAAAGACGTCTGCATTGAATTGTCTCATATAATAATATTCCGCCCACTATATCACAAAAAATTGCGAGTAGCTGAGTGGAATGGAGATAAGTTGAGCATTGGGTACAGGACCAAGTCTCCCCTGGGTGGTGCCAAAAGATGAGCGCAATAGAATCATCAAGTTGCTATAAGGCACGGAATGAGACTATTGCATGGCTGGGTAGTCAAAGTCTTCTATTCGTTAGTCATTTCAGGTGGATTAGAACAGGTTTAGGTGGGCGTTGGCCAGATTTGGATTTTTCAGATGTAATCCTGGATAGGACCTGTCATTGAACGTCGCGTGAAAGTGGAACTTAATGAAGGCCTAAGTACTTTTTCGTAGTTTTTAGTTTTCGGATTTGAAAGATCGTCGGTTACAGTGGCCTGCTTACATATCAAAGAGATTTATGGTAAAATCGCTTGTGTATCGTGTATTTTGCGAAACTCGTTGTTGTCGTTGGTTCCGGGTTTGAATGGATACACAAATTTGAGCAACGGTATTATGTGATATGAGGGGCTCGGTGGCCTTAGAGCAACCGTTTTTGCTTACTGAGCAAAACATCATGAGTCTAATCTCAAGCCCATCCACATTCAAGATTCGTCAATCGTTTTATTTGTTAATATGACTACATGGTAATAACAGCAACTTGGTGATTAAAAAGGTGCTCGTCTGCCTAGTGGCAAACGTTTTTGCTTACTGAGCAGAAGACCGTGGGTTTAGTCCCAAGCTCCTTCGCGTTATATGATCGTTAGGACATCAGTTCAGCTTATCGTTTACCAAAACGAACCCTGCTGCAAAACCAACCCTCTTATCCAACATCCCAGTGATTCCTCGTGGAAGTGCAGAGGTGTTCTCGGCTTCCATCAAAGCGAGTGTCATGTCAACACAATCCTTCCCATTCCTTTCTTGACCTGTGTTCGGGCGCGGCCGGCGCTGGTATTGCCTAATTTAAGATCACTAGTTTTTACACATTGAGGATGATTGCTAGTCCCAAGCATCGTCTATTGGTTCTCTGTGTAATTACAGCTGATCTGGCAGTAACAGAGTAGCAACCGTGGGCGGTCAATCAAGCTCAAGCAAGCTCTATTTAGGAGATTTTCAGCCGCAGGCTGGTTCATCTCCGGCTTGAATTGGATTGCATAATAGAACATTTGACTTATTAAATGATGAACGAAGTGCTCGAAAACTTGAAGGTTGTCATGTTATAAAGAGCTAAAAAATGGATTGGAATTGATAAATACATAGTTCCATAAAAGTAAACATAGTGTATTATCAATAGTAAAAAAAAGAAAAGTGAAAATTACTAATTTCATCATCTTTTCTGGGGAATGGTGCATTCTGGGGAATGGAATTCTAGGGAATGTTATAGAATCACTGAACATTGCATTAGGTCCTAAGTAACATTGTCAGATTCTCTTCGTCGACTTTCTCTTTGTATCCCCACGGCCATGAAAAGACATTCACATGTATTTTCAGCACACAGATCGATAAAAGAAGCTTTCAACTAGCATCTAATAGGGTAAACACAACAAGAAACGGTTATGTGCTCAAGTTATTAACGAAAGAGAAAGTCGAAAAAGAGAATCGATCAATGTTACTTAGGACCTAATACCAACAATCAATACGAACCTAACGATTTTTAATTGGCTCACTACTTGACTAGCCTATTGGTCCCAAGCAAACGATTAACGTACCCCATTCTAGTCGACATTCTAGTACTACGCAATGTTTGTTTTGATTCGCTATGAAAGTTTGACAGATAAAATGAGGGGTTATTGGATTTTCCTATGTTTCGAGGGGTGAATCGATTAGCTTGGGACCGAAGATAGTACCAGAGCTGAGCCAAAAAGTTGAGCACGTTTCTTCGGGACCTACTGGTCTTAGTGTTACTTCTATGCTAATACAATGTTCAGCTTGAAGTGGCTTATGGTCTGTCTCTAATTCAAATTTACGACCAATCAAGTATTGTTGCGTATGCAACAAAAGGGAAACACTTTTCCGTAATTTTAACTCGTATAATTGGGTGAAACGGTTAAAATTTCCCTATAAGTATACAAAATTGTGAGGAACAATAATTTAGAAATATAATGTTTCTTACGTTTGTGAGGGTTTCCGATTTGTAAGCCGGATCTTCGTAACGGTATTCAGAGACGTATCTTTCTGTATATTTTTAGTGAATTAGGAAAATTAGGTTTAAACTAGGTTAATTCAATTATTTTTACCTCAACTTCCTCGATGATTGCCGAATTATAGAGCGGACTCAATGTGCAGTTGTACGTATAATCATTAAATCCTCCTACGTATAGCAATGTTTCGTATCAATGTTAGTTATTTTCATTATTTCATTATTGTGTAAGTAAACTGCCTACCGTACGCTAAGTCACTAGTTTAAGTAGTTTTAAGGTAATTGTATGTGCTATTTTAGGTAAGTTAAACAGTAAATTGTAGTTTTTAAAGACGCGTGTTACACTATTGTCAGCTTTCTTTCCACAATGATCTGCACTTTTTTCTTTCACCGCCGCATTGACAGCTCCGTATGGCCATTATGCCTCTGTCAGCTCCCACGCGGCGCTGCTGCATCCATGAGGTATATTAGTAGGTGTAGCGTCGCACGAAGGGTGCACGCAACAAGTATAATGAAAATTTCTCAACTGCCCATACCAAAGCAAGTGCCTCTTTTTCCGTTTGGCAGTAGCGCTTTTCGGTACTAGTTAGGCTCTTACTGGCATAGCATATTATACGAGGATCATTGTCGGTTATGTCTTTAAATTGAACCAAGACAGTGTCTAATGCAACAGGTGAGGCGTCTGCTACCACCCTAGTACGCAAAGCATTATCAAAGAAAGCGAGATTATCGGCGTTGGATATCATTTGTTTCAGCTTTTCAAAACTCCGTTGGTGTTCCTTCGTCCATGCGAACCTATTGGCACTGCATATCAGTTCCCATTTTAATGGTGCAGTAATGGTTGCTAAATCTGGGATAAACTTTCCAACGTACGTGACGAGACCTAAAAAACTTCTTACTTCGTCAGAAGAACGAGGTTCACGAAATTTCTGCAGAGTTTGCACCTTTTCCTCCGTTGGGCGTATTCCGTTAGAGGAAATAATATGACCTTAAAACACTATTTGCCGTACTTTAAACATGCATTTATCTTTGTTCAGCAGAATATTACGATCTTTCAAAACTGAAGAACTTTGTTTGAAGCCGCATCATGTTCTTCTTCAGCTTCGAAACTTCTAACCAATAAAGTAAATCTACTTGATCAAAATCAAGTGAAAACTAATAAAGGAAAATGAAAAATAACTTGCAAAATGTGTTTGAATGGCATAGCAATTAATTCGAATATTACTGCGTTGTTGGTGAGAAGTTTCTAATAAGCCCTGCTCTGTTAACAGAACAAATCTGATATTTACATATCAGAATTGCTTAATCTGAGAGAAACGGACGATTTAATCAAGGGAGTTCTATTAATCCTTTCCGCTCAGATTGTTTTGGCATATAGGTGATATTTTCCGCTACGGAAGATTATAATATTTGAAAATATTATAATAATCCTTCACTTTGGTAACGTCTACTCCCATGTCCAGCAGGAGAGCAAAAAGAAATTCTTAGAAGCGGGACAATTAAAAGTGCATAAGTAGAGGTACCAGACATGTTTTGTAGCGTCGGTACTCTATTTTGTAGTCTGTGAAAGGGAGTTCTAGGTTTGTTGACTGCACTGCCGTGTGTTGAACAGCTCACGAAAAACAGTAATGGATATTTTCCAATAGATGTCGCCACAAAGAACAGCAGTTGCATCAGCTATAAAATGAACGCAGAAGCTTGACTAAATGATTAATTGATTAATTTTTGCAGGATCACTGCATTCGGATGCGTTCCCCGGTGGCGCTAGCCATTCTTCATCTTCCTCCGTCGACGAGGGAGGTCCATCCTCTAGTCTACTGGTCGATCTTGGCCAGCCGATATTTTCCTTCAACGCAAGCGGTGGCAACAGTGCAGGTGCAGGTGGTGGCAGTGTTAGCGTCAATTTAGGAAATCCTAGATCTACAAGTTTGAACACGACGCGCGTAAGCAATGCCAGCTCTGCGTCCCCAGCATCCACCTCCGCGGCCAACAATGCGGCTTCAACGTCAGCGGCCGGTACCGGAAGTAGTAGTTCGGGCAATTCCGGCGCAAACAGCAGGTACCGTGACGACGATGGTAATATTGATTATGATTTTGATTAATGGCAGAAGCTATGGTGGTTGCGAGGAATGCTTTTTACCAAAAACTGTTTTGATTTATCGTTTTTCGTTTCGTTTCGGACCGTTCACACAGCTTCAGGTGCCCCAAGGGAGCACGGTGGTAATTTGTAGATTTTTCAGAATCCTCCACCCCCGTTTTGTATACAAAAATATCCAAACACCATAACTAGTTAACTAATAATGGCAATGTATTTTTTTTTAAGAACTTCTGTTTTTAATACCTTGTTCTAGGGAAAGATTGCACATGCCATTCATTCAAGAATAAATAGTGTTTCATACCAGATTGGTTATCGTGGAGTTTCGTTTGAAAAAAAAATAGCTGCAAAACGCACCTCTTCCAGTTATTTTAAACCGATCTCATTTTGGTATTTCAAGAACTGTATCGCCTGGTAAAACCATTCTCTGTGACATCTTATCCAAAGGGTACAACAGCACTCTTTGCAAAAGAATATAACTAAACTGTGCTATAGTAGTTTAATACAATACGATGTGAAAACTAAAATAACTGACTAATCGTAAGACACTGATAATTTCGAAACTCTAAAAACAACAAAAGAAAAAAAAAATGAGCAAACCCGGCAAAAAATACAGCTACTACTTGAAAGAAACGATAATTACACTAAATATGTAAAAGGAAAGCCAACAATGGTAATAATTTATACATAAATCCAAACAAACAAACAAAAAAGGTTTATCACATTACCTAAAATAGGCACCGGGAAACAGAAACCTTTAGTAATATAATATGTTGCGATGCTACAAGTAGCTTTAAAATACAGTTGAAAGCGATTATTATTATTTTTTCGTATAAACTAGCTTTTGTTCTAATTTTTTCCGCATAACTCCGGCAGAAAACTGCTGCTACTTTAACACGTCTTTGGCAGGAACAGAAAGAATTAAAAAAAGAAAGTCGTCCGACGGGATTTGTTGATTGTTACATTCGAAGAACACCCATATAGGCTTGTCTGTGCTCCCTGAAATATTGATTATAATACCAACACACTGCCCTCTGCGGCATAACAGTCCCATTAGCATTTTTGGCGAAATATTAGAACAGATTGCCAAGTACCGTTACTTTACAATGTACACGAAAAGTTTCCTGCTTTGTTGAAAAAAAAATACCAAAACTATGTAGTCCATAAGAACCCATAGAGAAAAAAATCTTCAATAGCGTTTTTCTCAACTTGCTGCTTTACCGAATGGGACAATTATGCTGAAAAGGGCAGCACACACAAAAACCATAAAACTAAAGCGAAATGAATTTACATACAAAAGCATGGTAATGAACATTCAACAATTGTTTTTTTTTTTATTATTAACGAAAGTAAAATGATTTATTCCAACGTATTATTTTTTCAAGTCAAATGACCAACATTTTCCACGCTAACTTTGGATCGAGTTAAAAAAAAACCAAAATTTGTTGCAAAATAAAAATAAAAAAAGAAAGAAGAAAGGTGAAGATATGATAATGACAAAGAAGAAAAAAACTAGTTACATACAAACACGCGCGCGCGCTGCAGTGGAGGAGCATATTTTTATGGTTATGTAAATTGTATCAAATTCAAAAATGGCAAATTCAATAAAAACAAAGGATAAAATCATGTAAAATTGAACCAAAGCAAGCCGTGTGTCATTTTCCACCAACCCTTCCTACAGTCGCTGGCTGAATTAGCGACAAAGCAATGTCAAAATCAGCACGAGCAACATGGGGCCGCATCGTTCCGTCCGACTGTCAGTTGAAGGCACACTATAGTGCAATGTGGAATGGTACAATCACCCTCGCTCTGTAACATAGCTCGATCCGAGTGGTAGAAGGATAATGATATATTGCTTGCCTGCTTTGTTGCAATATACACGGATGAGGACAAAGCTTGATATGAATCGAGAAAAGACATAACAAAAAATTTCTCACACGTGTATCATCTTCGGGTTTACTTCGTGAAGCAGCTTGCCAACAATTTGCTCGTTTCCTTCTACCGCCCCGAGTGAGTTGTGTCGCACGGGCTACTTGTCATGAAAAAGAACGAAGAAGATTATATCATTATTGCTTTCCACTTCTGACATAGCGTTATTTTTCGGTTCGTTGATCGCTTGTCATTTTGTCATTTGGAGATATTTTTGATTCCTTGATCTCGATATAAATCTACAAAACAGGCTTGCCTAATCACTTAAAGTTTCCAGCAAGTTCATGATCCGTTTCTAACTCACTGATACGGGAAGGGGTCCTTCGCTTGGCAATTTTCTCACCCTTAGAAGCACAGTTGTACACACCAACTGCTCATTTGTTAATAACTTTTCACTCCGTTGTTGAAATTTGTTTTTCTTTAAAGTAATTGATAGATTAGGATCATAGTTTACTATAGATATGCAAAGAGTAGGTAAATCTTAACATTTGAATTTATACACTTAAAGTCCGAGATGTGCAGCAAGCATTTCTCACTTCATTTTTACAACGAATAAACAAATATACTAAAAATCTACTTTTTTCACGTATCTATAACAAGCTTAAACTCTATTCTATCTACTGCTTCAAAAAGAACTATGTTTCGTCAACTGTGTGCAAAGTTATTACCAAATGAGCAGTTCGTGACCAAAACTGTGTATGCCAAGCATGCTTAGAAGTTCTTTTATGACTGCTTCCGAACTCTACTTTAGGCGCATACATTCATTCAGATCTCCTCCATCTTCATGGTGACCAACAAATCTCGATTAGCAAACTTCACGGATTTTTCAAGGGGGACGAAAGCAATCCCACAGACAAGCAGACGTAACTCTTCATTGTGTATCTTCGTTCACGCTGTTGCAATTTACAGGTAGCGGTAGAGCAGACTACCTTTGAATGGGCTAACACGCAAACACTGGGAAAATGTGCACCAACGAAATCAAAATTGGGTTAGCATTGACGTTTACATTAATTTTATTGTGCCGGCATGGTTTTCTCCTGCCTAACCTCATTTCCTATCTTTCTTCGGCCTTTGCAACTCTCACTTTCCTACATCTTTTCTCTTCTTCTTTCCGCTTACTTTTCCTTAAGAGTACTCACTCAATGCTGCTGGGTGCACCCTTACCGCCGCTGGATTACCGCACGGATGTTCCGCGGCTCGTCCGTCTGACTTGCTCCACACACACAGCACAATGACCACCCGTTGTTCCGTGGTTTAGAGTCCGGTCCGGACAACCCTCATCCGTCGTGTCTACGATGACCTCGCCAGAATCACGCACAGCCCAGACACACTGGCCCTCGTGCAGCTGAGTAGTCCGACCTGCGGAATAGCAATCAGAACAAAAGGCCCTGGGGCGCATATTCCCTTAGTTTTCATGTGGCGACTGTTGGAGTAAAGCGACTTACTTCTGTTTGAAGGCCTTTTTAGCCACAGGCAGTGGTTCTTCACCGATAGCGTCTGTCCGGGAGATCGTGTTTTGGCGTCGTTGCCTTGGCCTGAGCGCACTTTAGAGAGGAGAGTGTGAATTTTCCTACCTTCACTTTCTTTGATTATCTTACCGGTTAATCTATCGTCGGCAAGCTTCAACGATGTTTGATCGTTGATCCACCATCCGGTGCGTTCTTCTTCGATCGCACAGAGCTGCTCGCGCCCGAGAACACAGTTTTTTACACAGCCAACTTACTATCACGGCAATCGCGATTATCGACCACGCCGTTTTGCGTGCTACTTGTGCGAATGCACTTTTTTCTGGCTCCCTTTATGCTGTCACTGATGTTTACTGTGCTGGTACTTGTGTGTGTGCGTGCGGAAGCGTTGTCAGCAACGTCAATGCGGAATGATGGGCAAGATAATTTTCGCTTTTCTTTGCTTTTCAAGCGATGCGGCCCATGTGGCATAATTTGCTTATGCACGCTCACGGGAGATTAGGCATCAATAATGTCATACCCCAAATGCTTATAAAACGCTGTCCAGACTGGCGAGTTATAACATATTATAACGGTTGTCAAATAATTGCAACACAGAAACCACCATCAAGAAAGCGCTATAACATGTTATAACTCGTAGTCTGAACGTACTATAAGCGAATTGATGCTACCCAAAACTAAACGTAACAACGCATTAAACGACTGATTTGAATATTATCAGCTCCTCGAACTACTCGCCGCAGCGCTGGCATCGGATAACTTTGACGTTTCTATACATTCTATAGAACTTTTATGCAATATTGTTTGCGAGTTAGCGAGGAAGCTTGTTTTCCGCTAGAAGCCCGAGAGATGTCGTTACTGTTTCAAACCCTTCAAGCTTCAAGTTCCAACTCTGGAAGCAACGAAAATATCTGCACAGAGGGTTGATGACCTAATTGACTACCGGCATTGATGGCCAAACATGACCAAACCATAGATACCAGTCTGTGTATTGGTATTGGTGCCAGCTTTAGCCTCATTTGTTGTTTGTTTACCGCGCACGACGAAGGAGTACCAACAATCAATACGAAACTAACGATTTTAAATTGGCTCACTACTTTAGTAGCCTATTGGTCCCAAGCAAACGATTAACGTACCCTATTCTAGTTGAAATTCTATTACTACACTATGTTTGTTTTGATTCGCTATGAAAGTTTGACAGATAACATCAGGGGTGTGTGGATTCATGCAGAACATGCAGGGGTGAGTGAAATAGCTTGGGACTGCTTGGGACCGTTGTTCTGGTACTGAGTGGGCCAAAAATAATAATGATTTTCTTCGGGACCCAGTGGTCTTAGAGTTACCTCTATGGGAGTACCGCGACGTCGTAGTAAAGTTGTTTGCGACCCGGCGACATATTCCGGCTGTTGAAATACCACGGGGTGAAGCGCAATTTCATCTATACCACCATCCGTCGGTACCAGCACAAACGAAGTGACAGACGGAGCGGCTCGAAAACTTTGGTGACGCACCTGCTAATGCAATTTTTCAGTGTACCACATAGCAACACCACTACTACTGGATTGTGCCACATGGCAACACTACTAATAGATTGTACCACATGGCAACACTAAATGTACTAGAATGTTTGGGTTCTATCTCTTTCACTCTACTCTAAACTGAAATGCATAAAAAAAATGACAAAACGATACACTCTTTGCTCACTGTCAAAGATCATATTGCACACAAAATCAACTATGTTCAAATCAAAACAAAAATACTAGCCCATCTAGTGGCTGATGGCACAAGCATCTAAGAAAATTCTATTACAGCGAACCACGTTATTTTAATTCATTTCTTCGCCAGTTAGTCGTCTGTCACTTCGTTTGTGGGTACCAGGAGACGGACTCGGCCAAGGACCGTGCGAGATCAAGGTGGTGAGGGAGCGGGTTCGTCGAAAAATGAACCGCTCGATCCGGAAGACCGCTGCTGACCTGGATGTTTCGATCGGGACTGCCCACACCATCATGACGAAGGATCTGGGATACAAGACGTACAAGAA